GTGAAGGAGGTGCAACCCCACCCAAGCTGTTTCTTGGTACCCAGCGATACCAGACTGGGTGGCCCCCTGGGCTCCGGAGGCCCCAGTGGAGTGCTCGGGGTCTGGGAGGACCACGCAGTGTAAAATCCTGCATGGTTTCCCAGGGTGCTTTGTTGTCCTCTGGCCCTTGAACACACAGGCTCCTGTCTGACTTCCCACCCGGCAGGTGCAGAGCCTGTGAGGATCTGGTCTCTCCTGGCCAGCGCTGGAACAGCCCAATGGACCCTCTTGTTACAGAGAACCCTTGGTCTCAAGAGTCCCGACGCAGTACCCCGTAGCCGAACGCTGGTGGGCACCTGCGTTTCTGGGTGACCTCCTGCCTCCATGCAAACTTAGTGAAGAGAGGCCTTTGTGGGCGCAGCCCGCCTGCTGTGCCCCATGTCAGGCGCGCCTGGGTTGAGTCCTGGCTCCTCTGTCTCCAATCCAGCCTCCTGCTAACGCACCCAGGAGGCGGCAGGGGATGGCCCAAGTGCTGGGAAGTGAACCATGGTGAAAGATCCCCTCTCCCTGTCTCTGTGTCGCTCCGCCTTTCAAATAAATAAACCTTAAAAAAAAACGGAGAGCAGGGATCTAGCAGGCACCTGTACACAGAAGCTCTCGGCAGCCCAGGCGGAGACCATATTGTGCAATTCCTTGTATCTGAGGTACCAAGAAATAAGTACTAAAGGGGCCGGTGCTGTGGCGCAGTGGGTTAAAGCCCCTGTCTGCAGTGCCGGCATCCCATACGGGCACCAGTTTGAGTCCTGGTTGCTCCACTTCCGATCCAGCTCCCTGCTGGGAAAGCAGTGGAGGATGGGCCAAGTGCTTGGGCCCCGGCACCCACGTGGGAGACCTGGAAGAAGCTCCTGGCTCCTGGCTTTGGATCGGCTCAGCTCCAGCCATTGCAGCCATTTGGGGAGTGAACCAGTAGATGGAAGACCCCTCCCCTCCTCTGTCACTCTTTCAAATAAATAAAATAAATCTTTAAACAAAAAGAATAAGTACTAAAAATAAATAATAAATAATGATAAGTACACGGCAAGCAGAGAGCTCTTGGCCTCGTCCCTCTGATTCTTAGCCGTCAGGGTGCAGGAGCATCATCCAACTCTTCAAGGGAAGCGGGAAAGCCGGGCTTTTATTATTGTTGTTATTTGAGAGGCCGAAAGGCAGGCAGACAGAGAGCTCCGGTCTGCCGGTTCACTCTCCAAATGCCCACAACGTTGGGGGCTGGCTGAGGCCAAAGCCGGGGGCCAGGAACTGAGTCCAGGTTTCCCATGTGGGCGGCAGGAGCCCAATCATTTGGGCCATCACCACTGCCCCCTAAGGTTTGCTTTAGCAGGAAGCTGGAGCCAGGAGCTGGAGCCGGGAATCGAACCCAGGTAACTGCGGTGTGGGACACAGGCATCCTAGCTGCCGGGCCAAACGCCCGCCCCTGGAAAGCAGCATTTAGTGGAACAGTTCCTGTTTCCAAAGATGACAACCAAATCACGTTTTTGAAAAACACCGGGTAGGCCAAAGAAATGCAGCCGCAGGGCTGCCACCTCGGGGCACACAGGCTGGGACCCCAGAGACAGGCCGTGGTGGAGAGCTAGGAGAGGGACGGAGGCCTGAGGGCCCCAGACTCCCAGGCGGGGGCGGGGGGGGGTCTTCAGCCTTGGGAATTGAGGGCTTGAGCGCTAAGCAGGGCAAAGGTCAGGAGGAGGAAGCTGCTGCCGTGGGGGCCACCCGGGTCAAGGCCTCCGCCAGGGTGGGTGTGGGTGCCGAGGTGGAGCCACCTCAGGAGGGCACAGGTTTCACGCGGCGGGGTGGGGACAGGCAGGCACAGGCCCTTCCTGGGTGGAGCCCAGGCCTCTGCGCTCACTCCCGCTAGGCAGCCAAGGTTGGCAGTGACGTGACCACAACCCCAGCACCCAGTCTCTAAGGGAGCCTTAGTCAGCTAGGACGGGGGCGGGGCTGGTGTGACCCCCACCTCCCGCACCCACTGCTGTAGCTGGATTTCATTGCACTTTTCTACCAAAGCTCCCAGGGAACTATGCGCCCCCAGCCTGACCTTGGGCCTGAGACCCAGGAAACCCCAGCCGGCCCACTGCCTCTCAGGTACACCATAATAGCCCAGGTTAGACATTCTGGGGGCTCCCCTTTCTTTTTTTAAGATTTATTTTGGCCGGCGCCGCGGCTCACTAGGCTAATCCTCCGCCTAGCGGCGCCGGCACACCAGGTTCTAGTCCCGGTCGGGGCGCCGGATTCTGTCCCAGTTGCCCCTCTTCCAGGCCAGCTCTCTGCTGTGGCCAGGGAGTGCAGTGGAGGATGGCCCAAGTGCTTGGGCCCTGCACCCCATGGGAGACCAGGAGAAGTACCTGGCTCCTGCCATCGGATCAGCGCGGTGCACCGGCCGCAGTGCACCGGCCGCAGCGGCCATTGGAGGATGAACCAACGGCAAAGGAAGACCTTTCTCTCTCTCTGTCTCTCTCTCTCACTGTCCACTCTGCCTGTCAAAAAAAAAAAAAAGATTTATTTTATTTATTTGAAAGACAGAGATCTAGAGAGACAGAGGGAGGGCAGAGAGAGAGGTCTTCCATCCTGTGGGTCACTCCCCAAATGGCCCAACAGCCAGGACTGGGCCAGGCTGAAGCCAGGAGCTCCATCCAGGTCTCCCAAACGGGTACAGGGACCCGAGCATTTGGGCCATTCTCCACTGCTTTCCCAGGTACATCAGCAGGGAGCTGGATTGGAAGTGGAGCAGTCGGGACTCGAACCGGCACCCATAGGGATGCTGGCGCCACAGGTGAACCGTGCTTTGCCAAGGCTTAATGCATGAAGTGAAACTCCCAGGTCCTTGGAGGGAGACAGGCGAAATGCTGTGGTTTCTCAGTGAGCACTTGCTGAGGTCGGGCTGCATGGCCAGGGCCGGGTCATTCTGTCCTCCGCGTCAGTCACCATAGGGCCCCCAGGAACAGCCTAAGGCCCCGCCCCCACGCCCAGGGGGAAGGGAGATGGGGTGAGTAGCTGGCCTGCCAAGAGTGCTTGAACCACGGTGGCCGGGGGCAGGCTGGCGGCTGAGGGACAGAGGGCACGGCCAGCACCACGGACTGCACTCCCAGGGCAGAAAGGGCATGTCCACACAGGGCTGGGAGGGGCCCAGGCCTGGGGAGCTCACTGCCAGGTGGGCACTGGGTGCTTCGGTCCCCCGGGGAGGGAACCAGTAGATGGCAGATCTCTCTCTCTCACTCTCTCCCTCCCTCTCCCTCTCCCTCCCTCTCTCTCTCACTCTCTCCTTTCTGCCTTTCAGATCAATAAATTTTAAGCAAAGTTGGCAGGCGCCGTGGCTCAATAGGCTAATCCTCCACCTTGCGGCATCGGCACACCAGGTTCTAGTCCCGGTCAGGGCGCCGGATTCTGTCCCGGTTGCCCCTCTTCCAGGCCAGCTCTCTGCTGTGGCCAGGGAGTGCAGTGGAGGATGGTCCAAGTGCTTGGGCCCTGCACCCCATGGGAGACCGGGAGAAGCACCTGGCTCCTGCCTTCGGATCAGCGTGGTGCGCCGGCCGCAGTGCGCCAGCTGTGGCGGCGGCCATTGGAGGGTGAACCAATGGCAAAAGGAAGACCTTTCTCTCTGTCTCTCTCTCTCACTGTCCGTTCTGTCTGTAAAAAAAAAAAAAAAAAAAAAAAAAAAAAAATTAAGCAAAGTTAAAGCAAGTTGGAACAGAGCAAACTGGCTTGCCAACAACTGTACACTTTGCCGTACGACACACCTGCTAGCCCCTCACGTATGAATTAAACCTAAAGTGTCAACAAAAGGCCCTCACCTTTTATTTTACAAAAACGAACTCCTAAATGCTGGTTGACTTTAGATTTGCAGAGAAGTTGCAAAGCCACGGCAGAATTTCCTTTATTCCGGCGGGAACACTTCCCGCGGGCGGAGCTGGGCACCCACGTGGCTTACGTCACTAGCAGCAGGCTCCGGGCCGGGTCTGGATTCGCCCACTTTCCCACCAATGTCCTTTCTGTTCCAGGATCCCGTCCGGACATCACAGCGCATTCCTGACTCCACCAAGAGCTTTTTCTTGCTGCTGGAGGAGGAACTCCTGGGGCCATTTCTGTCCCTGACACCCACAGAGGCAGAATGGGACGCAAGCCCTTGGGGTGCACCCCGGAGCCCCCAGGCTCGCTGCCAGCGACAGGCGTGGAGACCGCGTCCCCAGCGTGCTCAGCCAGTTTGATTTCCACTGTGCTGGAGCCCAGGCATGAATGTGGCGCCGTGTGGAGAGAGGGAGATGGGGAAAGAGCGCAAGGGGTTAAGTCCCCACCACCTCTGCGCCCACCTGTGCCCCTGCACAGCTCCATAAGGACCCAGCGGCTCCTGAGCTAGTGCCCGCCGGGAAGCCAGTACCCGCCACCACGGCCCCCAGCTCCCCGGCTCCCGGGACCCCACCACTGCCTGCCCTGCTCCATGGCAGCTCCCCTGAGCTGCAGCCTCCGCCTCTTGCTGGGCTCCCCAGTGTGGCCCTGCCCCGGCCGAGACCCGCCCCCAGGGGTCTCCAGCCGGGCCTTCCAGGGCGCCCCCGAGGCTCCAGGCTCTACTGTGGGATTTCAGGACAGGAGCCTGCCCCTCCCAAACTTCCCCTCGGGACGTGGAGTGCTTGCTCCTCCCCCGGCGGCGCGTCCACCGGCACCGCTGACCCCCAGGCCGGTGTGAGCCCCGCGCCGCGGGCCTTAAACGACTCCACGGGCACCCACCCCCGCCCCAAAGCGCAGACGACCTCCGGAGCGGCGCCGCCTCCGGGTGCAGGCGACAGCTCTGCGAGCGCGGGGCCTCTCGGGCCGGGACAGGGGTCCAGCGCAGGGCGCGCCGGCTCCTTGCAGCGGCCCGGAAGCCCCGGGCGGGCGTTGCAAAGGGCAGCGGGAAGGGCCCCAGAGGATGACAGCTGCGGGCGTGGCGGGCCTGCTCTGGGGGCGGGGTGGTGGGCGGGGCCGTCCCCTGGGGGCGGGGCCCTGAATTTCAGGCCTCCCTCGACCTAGCCCGGGTAGAGCGGCTGCGGATCGCAGGACCGGAACGATGGGTGAAAACGCCCCGCCCTGGCCCCTTAGGCTGGAGTTGGACGGGGGTGGGAGAGCCACGAGCACTAACCCCCTACCCCCGACCTGGGGCCGCGGAAGAGGGTGCGGGTGGAGGGTGGAGCTCCGGCGCGAGCAGAACCCGCAGGCCAGAGCGGGAGGGAGGCCCCAGGACGCGACTGTGCGCCGCCTCTCAGGGTCCCGGGAGCCCCCGAGTTACGGGAAAGCGCGCGTGGGGGCCTGGGGTGCCGTGGCGAAGGCTGCCCGACCAGGGCAGGCCAGCGGCAGGTGGTGCCGGGAGCTCACCGCTGGGGGCCCTGCGTGCAGCCATGCGCTGGCCCCTCCTGGGCCCCCGCTCAAACGCAGCGACCCTGCGAGCCCCCACCCCCGGCTGTGCCCTGGCTTTCTCTGCCCCTCAGCCTCTGCACAGTGGGGGCTCGGGCTGTGCTGAGTGACCGCGAATGACTGCTCTGCCCAGGGCTGCTCTCCGAGCTGAAGCTGGCGGTGCCCTGGGGCCACATCGCCGCCAAAGCCTGGGGCTCGGCGCAGGGCCCCCCGGTTCTCTGCCTGCACGGCTGGCTGGACAATGCCAACTCCTTCGACCGACTCATCCCCCTGCTCCCTCAAGGTGGGGCTGGGGGCCGAGGGGAAGCCTGGGGGAACGGGGTGGGGAGCAGGGCTGCAGGGGACACATGGCCGACCTGCCCGCCTTCTCCCGCCCTGTCTCAGACTTTCACTACGTTGCCATGGATTTCGGGGGTCACGGGCTCTCGTCCCATTACAGCCCAGGTCTCCCCTATTACCACCAAAACTTTGTGAGTGAGATCCGCAGGGTCGCAGCAGGTGAGTCCCAGCCCTGGTGGTCTGTGCCGACCCCGAGGTGGCTTTGGGAAGCTGGCAGGGGACTGTGGAGGAGAGCCTGCCTCCTCCCGTGGGCTCACCCCTGCAGGAGAGCTGCCCCCGCAGGCTGGCCTCCTGGGAGCCCCGGGCTGCAGGGGAGAGCGCCGGTGAAGCCGGGCCCCTCCCAGGTTCTGGCTCTGTGTGTTTGCAGCCTTGAAATGGAATCGGTTCTCCCTCATGGGCCACAGCTTTGGTGAGTGCACTTTAGCCAGGATGTGCCTGGTCTCCGGTGGTGGGGGAAGGAGAGGTTGACCTCTGGGCCCGGCCCCTGGAGACAGGTGACTTGAGAGGCAGCCGTCTGCCGACCCCATCAGGGAAGTGTGGCCTTTTGAGCCATCAGCTTCAGCAGAGAGGCCGCTGAGGCCCGGGGAGGGGCTTGAGTGTGAGATTCGGGGGCCCCCGCCAGGGTGGGGCAGCCCTGGGAGGGAGCCTGGGGGAGGATGTTGGGGGCTGGGTGCGGGGGGGGCTTGCAGCCAACGGCTCCCTTGTCCCCAGGCGGCACTGTGGGCGGCATGGTGAGTAGATGGCTTTGCCAGGGCCGCCTGGGGGCTCCTGGGAGGGGGCAAGCAGGAGGAGGAAGCAGAAGTTACGGGACGGGAGGGGCCTCGGCCGTGGTTACTGCCGGCGCCAGCCTCTGTTCTGCAGTCATGTCCTCAAGGCCACCGCGCGGACTAAAGATGGAGTTCAGGTCTCCACAGGGGCCCTGGCAGCCGCCACCGGGCCTGGAGCTCCGCTGTGTGCGCTCCCCGGGGGGCAGTGGGGGCAGGGTCCCGGCCTGAGAGGGAACGCGGAGTCCCGGGAAGGGCCCGAGTCTACGCCGGAGCCCCGGGAAGGGCCGGAGTCTACGCCGGAGCCCCGGGAAGGGCCGGAGTCTACACCGGCGTCCCAGTGTCCCGGCGTCCCGGCGTCCCAGGAAGAGCCGGAGTCTCTCCTGCCTCCCTTCCCTGCAGTTCTCCTGCATCTTCCCGGAGATGGTGGACAAACTCATCTTGCTGGACGCCTCGCCGTTCGCCCTGGACTCTAACGTAAGCACGTGGCTCTCTGCGCGCTCGCAGGGCAAGCCCCACCCCTGGCGCCCTCCGCCCGGCTCCTCTGGTGGACACTCGGGAGGCATGGGAGGGGGCTCCTGTGGAGGACCTGCTGCTTCTGGTCCAGGAGTGGTCAGGGAGGCAGGTGCAGGGGACCCCTCCTTCATGAGGGCTAGGAGCTGCAGAACAGCAGGTGGGCCGGGAGGAGCCGTGGGGGGGGGGTGCAGCCTGGCCGCTCCTCGCACTCACGCCCCGCACTCACGCTCAGTGCAGCGCCTTTGTGCCCTGCACAGCCACCCACAGCAGCCTTGTGTGCCCCTGGTGGGATGAGCACTGACCACCACCCTGCTCTCCGTGACCACAGCCAGCCTGGCCCCTGCATCGGGTCCTGGCTGTGCACTTCGCCTGCTGTGTGACCCTAGGCCAGTCGCTTTGCCTCTCTGGGCCTCGAAAGGGAGGTTGGATCCAGGACCTTGGGGCCCCCTCCAGTGGCTCTGACTGGGCCGACCTGTCCCCGAGGGCTGAGCCTCTCGCTGACACAGCTTTTGTGTGTCAGCTTCAGTTTGCTCGATTCTGTACGGGCCAGAATCCTCTGCCTTTGTATCGCCGCTGCCTCCATCCCAGCACGGCAACCGGGAGTCAGTGGGTCACAGGGCCGGGCGTGAGGCACAAGGCAGCGGGGGGAGGGGGGCGCAGCCCCAGAGCTGCACCTGCTCTGCCCTTGGGAATGACAGCGCGAGTTGGACCAGGCGAAATTGCCGGCCCTTGACGGCTGGCGACTGTGGACCCTGGCATCGCCCCTTGGCACGGCCCGTCACTCTCGACTGATCTGTTCCTCTCCAGCCTCCGACCGCCCCCAGCCACGGGCAGGGCTGCACTGGCCGTGGTGGAGACGGGACTGGCTCAGCATCACGGGGGCTGAGCCAGTGCCCTCCCCTCCCACACCCGGGTGGGCAGCCCAAAGGGGCCGAGTGCCCGGCGTGGGGTGGGGCTCCGTCTGCAGCCACGGCCGAATCCGTAGGAGCTGGAGCACCTGCTGACCTACAGGCGGAGAGCCATCGAGCACACCCTGCAGGTGGAGGCCTCCCAGAAGCCCTCGCGCGTGGTCAGCCCCGCAGAGATGCTGCAGGGGTGGGTACAGGCCGCGGGCAGGAGCCCCCTGGAGACCCCTCCCCTACTCAGCCCCCCCCCAACCCGTTTCTCTCTATGGTCGCCCTGAGCACCTGGCTCGCTGGGCGGCCGTCAGAGGCTCCGCCTGCCCTTCCTTCTGCCTTCACTCCGACCCCCGTCCACTCCCGGCCCTTCCTCACCTCCAACCTACTCCCCACCAGGAGCTTCGGCGGCCGGCATTCCCCAGGGAGCCCGAGCCCCCCACGCGTGGCCCCGGCTCCTTCCCACCCCCACCCCTGTCTCCCCAGGTTCCTGAAGAATAACAGCCACGTGGGTGAGGAGTGCGGGGAGCTCCTGCTGCAGCGGGGAGCCACGCGGGTGGCCGCAGGTAGGCACGCCCGGCTCACTGCCCCTCCGCTTCCTGACGGTGATTCTGCGGCCTTGCCCGGGGCCAGGCACGATGATGTCACCCAGCCTCCCGGCCCACTGAGAGCAAGAGGAAGTGAGGCAGCCCTGCAAACCACGCAGCTGCCATGGGCCCGGGAGCCACGCTCCGGGGCTAGACCCTGGGGCCCGCTCTGCTGGGCCTGGGCCGCGGGACTCTGCAGGGTGGGGGCGGGGGTCCCTGGGCGCCAGGCCCGAGGTTTCCCACACTCCGTTTGCAGGAAACTTTTCCCAAGCGGGCACAGGAGATTGACAGCCCACACCTGTCTCTGAGGGGCCAGGGCCGCCTGTCCCACCACGCCGGGGGTGCCGTCCACAAACGCCCCTCGTGGAAACGGCGCCCCTGGAGTTGAGCAGGGAGGAAGCCGGTGAAGTGCGTGGGTTCTCGGAGGAGACGGGGATAAGCAGGTGGACGGGGCGCGCGTTTCCTCCGTGTAAAGGCGGAAGCGTTCGGGGGCGACTCGTGGGCTCGGGGAGGCTCCAGAGGGTGATCCGGGAGTGGCCACCAGGCCCCGACTTTGGAGCCTGACCCTGCTGGCCCGGGCAGCCTTGAGGAAGTCTTGCTTTGTCGACAGACTCGGTCCCCCGGATATGGAAAGATCTTGGGAGTTTTGCCCTCAGAGGTTGGTGAGATGGAGTGAGGCAGTGAACGTGCCCTCAGTTCTAAAGTTCCAGTGAGGCACAGGTCAAAATCCCAGGTGCCCATGGGGGCTGGGCCAGTCGCAGAACTAACCCTGCTGGCTAGGAGTGCGGCAATAGGGCACGGCGGGGACTGGAGCCAGCACTCCCTGGCAGGGCAGGCCATCAGGAGGGGATTCAGGTTTAGGGGGGCTAGAATGTCCAGTTGTTCAAGAGAAACCCATCTGGAGATGAAGGCTGAGGTCCTTGGGCCCAGGCCTCCCCGAGGCGCCCCGCCTACAGGGGCCGCAGGTGTGAAAGTGGGCTAATCCGGAATGAATGAGACTCCCTCCCAGACACCGTGGAATCCGATTAGGCCCAGGGTCGCAGGAAATGGTGAAGCAGATGCTGACCAGCCCAGGGGGAGCTGGGGACGAGCTGAGCCCCCAGTGCAGGAGCAGCCAGCAGGTGGCTGGAGCGCAGGGCGGGACCTCCCCCGTGGCAACAGTAGCCCTTGGACCCAGAGTTAGCATTTAAAGGACCAGCTCAGAACCTGTCAGTGCAGGAAGCAGGGGTTCCAGGCTCCTCCCAAATCCTCCCCCGCCCTGGGCTCGCCTCCCCTCCCTGTCCATCCGCCTGCCTGACCCCTCCAGAATCTGCACGGGCCGGGGCTGCCCTCACAAAGCTGACCCAGAGGCCTGAAAGCCCCGCATCACCTCCGGGCAGAGAGCGAAGCCGGGGAGCAGAGCGGGAGAGGGCAGTGCCCTTGGCGCTTCTGAGTGGACCCGTCCCGTGGTCGGGGGTGGGGTTACTCTTGAGCAGAGTCACGTGAGCAGGCAAGGGGCTGGTCACGCGGCTTCTCCTCCACACAAGGGGGCCGCCAGGGAGGGTTGAGGCCAGAGCTCACCAGGTTAAGGTGGTCTGGGAGGCCTTGGGGGTGGTGGGAGCGGGGGGCGGCCGTGGCTGTCCCCAGGTCAGGGTGCTCCGAAAGCGGCCAGAAGCCCCCTCTCCCCACCCCCCTAAGCATTTTGGGTTGCAAACGTGGGAGGCAGCTCCAGCAACAATTAACAGTACGCTGATCATCTCCCAGTTCCGCAGCCGCTAATTAGAGAGGAAAACCTAATAATTAGAGAAAATAGCTTCCCTTAATGTTTCCATAATTGGTTTCTTTCTCAGAGAGCCGCATCTACATTCACTCCCTGGCTTTCCGGGGGGGAGGCCCGAAGCCCCCTTCCCGTCCCCCACCTCCTTGAACGTCCCCCGGCACTGGGCTCCCAAGGGGCTGGGCAGGCAGGGGCACGTGCCGGCTTCGCTGTCGGGCTTGGGTTTTTAATTGAATATGACCTTTCTGAGCAGGTGCAATATAGTGCGGCTTAAAAACCCCGGGAACTGGGGCCCGGCGCTGTGGCCTAACAGGTTGAGCTTCTGCCTGCAGCGCTGGCATCCAGCTTGGGCACTGGTTCGAGCCCTGGCTGCTCCACTTCCAGTCCAGCTCCCTGCTAATGCAACTGCAAAAGCAGCAGAGGACGGCTCAGTGCTTGGGGCCCTGCACCCAGGCGGGAGACCCGGATGATGCTCTCTGGCTTCTGGCTTCAGCCTGGGCCATCTGGGGAGTGAACCAGCAGATGGAAACTCTCCTTCTCTCTCTAACTCTGCCTTTCAAATAAATAAATAAAATCTTTTGAACAACAATCACAGCAATAGACGAAGATCCATACACCCTTTCTTCCCCTGCCCCGGTTAACCCCCTTTTCAGTGTCTCCACACTTTTCTAGGGTTTCCTCAGGCAACCAGAGTGAACGCAGATCCACGCCTATCCCCTGGTCTGCAGCCTCGGCCTTCTTCTTCTTCTTCTTTAAAATTTATTTGCTTAGTTATTTGAAAGGCAGAATAACGGAGACAGAAATCAATCTTCCCTCTGCTGGCTCACTCCCCAAATGCCCGCAACAGCCAGGGCTGGGCCAGGACCCTGGGACGCCCTCTGGGTCTCCCACGTGGGCGGCAGGGTCCCCAGTGCTTGGACCATCCTGTTCCTCCCAGGTGCATTAGCAGGAAGCCGGATCCGAAGCAGGGTGGTGAAGATCGAACTCGCCTCCCGGTGTGGGACGTGGGGGTCCCAGTGTCACCATGCCCACCCAACCTCCACACGTCTTGTGCTTGCCAGCTGGTCCTGGAGACAGGTGCACGGACAACGGCCCACGGACGTCCCAGCCGACTTAGGCAGCCCTCCGTGGAGGACGCTGGCCGTGTCCAGTGTGTCCCAGGCGGTGCCACACTGCCCGGCCTTGTCTCCTGGCTTTGTGGGTGTGTGCACGACCCCCGCCTGAGGCCCCCTTTGTCCCTTGGCTGGGGCTGGGGCTCTGACGGCACTGCCTGGTGCCCTTCAGGGCTGTCCTTTGGCTGCCCTGCCCGTGCTGGGCGAGAGGCCTGTGTCGCTGGCTGTCACAGCGTTGGAATTCGGCCGACTTGCTGAGAGAGGGGTTGGAGCTCTGTCAGCTGTCGGTGTTGAGTTTCCTGAGACCTGGCGTCCTGGCCGCTCGCCGTCTCACGGGCCGCCCCACGGTCTCCGGCAGCCCTCATGCACGGGACCGCACTGTGGACGCCTACGCCTTTGCTTTCTTTTTGTCTCTTTCTGTGGCTTCTGGATTCTGAGTCGGGGTTAAAAGCTGGTGTTTGGTTCGAACCTATTTGGGGTTTAGTATTGGCATTACATTTTTTTTTAAAGATTTATTTATTTATTCATTTGAAAGGCAAATTTACAGAGAGGCAGAGGCAGAGAGAGAGAGAGATCTTCCATCCTGTTTTACTGGATGGTTTACTCTCCAATTGGCTGCAATGGCTGGAGCTGCGCCGATCTGAAGCCAGGAGCCAGGAGCTTCTTCCAGGTCTCCCACATGGGTGCTGGAGCCCAAGGACTTGGGCCATCCTCTACTGCTTTCCCAGGCCACAGCAGAGAGCTGGATCAGAAGTGGAGCGGCTGGGACTCGAACCGGCGCCCGTATGGGATGCTCGCACTTCAGGCGGCAGCTTTACCCACTATGCCACCGCGCGGGCCCCTTAAGTAACTTTTTAAAACAGCAGTGGCATTAATAAGAGCAGTGACATCCACATACCTGTCGCCAACTCAGAGCAGAACGGCGCCATTCCTTTAACCCAGGGGCACCGCTGGTCACCTGCTGTGGGCGGGCCCTGGGGACGCAGCTATGGGTGACCCCAGGCTCTCTGCACCCATGGAGACTGCGCCGTAGCAGGGCAGAGAAGCAGTGGCTACGTAAGCGCCGGCGCGGGCTAGAGCAATGATGTTGTAGAGAAAATGATTCGGAGTGGCTGCAGGGGCCTGGGGGAGGTGTTTGCAGTCTTGTTTACTTTAGGAAGGCAGAATTACAGAGAGGGTCAGACAGCACCGGATCAAGATCTTCCACCCGCTGGTTCAGTCCTCAAATGGCCGCAACGACTGGGGCTGGGCCAGGCCAAAGCCGAGGGCTCGGAACTCCACCGTGGGTGCAGGGGCCCAAGCACTCAGGCCAAGCCCCGCCACTTTCCCAGGCGCGTCAGCAGGGAGCTGGATCGGAAGTGGAGCAGCTGGGACTCAGCGCTGGCTCCGTGTTTGCGACTTTAAACAGGAGGCTGAGAGCCTGGCTGTGAAGGTGGCGTGTGAGCAGAGACTTGGACAGGCAGAAGCACCTGGCCTCCACCTCCTCCCAGGCCTGCAGGAGGGGTCCCCTGCTCTGCCTCCCAGCTCTCGCACCAGCCATCGCCCGCCCGCAGCCCAGCGGTTTCTCCAGGGCTCCAGGGCGCCGGTTCCCGGCTGACCGGGGGTGCCATGGGCAGCCGTCTGATTTTTCTTTCTTAGTCCAGCTCCTCTCCAATTGATGACTCGACTCTTAGTCGTTCTACACTTTCTGGGGTCCAAAGGCCCGAGTGAACCTTGTGCGTGTCTCAGAGGCCAGGGCGCCCAGTGCCAGCCACACTCCGTGTCCCCACCCCTTTAGGGTGGCCAGGGCTTGGGGAGGGGCTGCCCGTCAGGCTGTGCTCCATGGAATCCCGGGACGGCGGTAGCAGCAGGAGCGGGGCTTGGTGCCCCCTCCCGGGCAGATGAGCCCCAGCGGAAGGCCCCGCGGGTCCCCAGGGGGAGTCCCCTCACTGAGGCCCCCATCTCTGTGACTCCACCTGCAGGGCTGGTGCTGAACAGAGACCGGAGGATCGCCCGGGTGAGTGCCGCCGCCGCGTCCCCTCGCTCCGTCTGCTGGCCTCTTGTTTTCAGTTCTAGAATTCTCTAGGTAACGCTACACGCAGCTGTCAGGTACCCCCTTAGCCCTGTGACACTGAGTACATGCGGGGTGCTGTCCCCGTGACCCCCCCGCGCGCAAGGTGCTACCAGCCGGCTGCACGGGAGCCCAGCGTCTCTTCATCTGTTCTGCGCACACACCCTTGCCGGCGCCGCCCAGGCTGCTGTGGGCGTGGAGGACAAGCGTCTGCTCCCGCGCCTGCACTCGGTCCCGTGGGGTCTCCACCTGCCACGTGAACTGCTGGGCCACGCGGTCATTCCACGTGTGGTTCCCATCAGCAGCACACGAGGGTTCCGAGTTCTCACAGCCCCAGCAGCACCTGCTGCCTTCTATATTTTCAGCTCCGTGTATTTGAAAGGCAGAGAGAAGGGGGGGGGAGGGGAGAGAGAGGGGGAGAGAGAGAGAGAGAGAGAGAGAGAGAGGGAGAGGGAGGGAGGGAGGGAGAGAGAGGGAGAGAGAGGGAGGGAGGGAGGGGGAGAGAGAGAGGGAGAGGGAGGGAGGGAGGAGAGAGAGGCAGAGGAGGGAGGGAGGGAGGAGGGAGGGGAGGGAGAGAGGAGAAGAAGAGGAGAGGGAGGAGGGGCGAGATAGAGAAGAAGATCATAGAGAGAGAGAGAGAGAGAGATCCTCCACCCGCCAGCTCCCTTCCTCAGTGGCTGCGGCAGTCAGAGCTGGGTTGAACCAGAGCCAGGACTCAGGCACTCCACCCGGGTCTCCCACAGGGTGGCGGGGGCCGTCTTCTGCTGCCTTCCCCGGCGCGTCAGCAGGCACCGGATCAGAGGCCGAGCGGCCAGGACTGGAGCCTGCGCTCTCACAGCTGTGCCACATCGCCGGCCCCGCCCATGCCTCACTCTGCATCGTTTGCGTGCTGTTGAGCTGTAGGGGTTGTGTGTGTGTTCTGAACACCAACCCCTTATTTGAGGCACCACCTCAAGTTGTTCAGTGTCACTTCCTTGATAGCATCTGTTGATACACAAGGTTCTTATTCTTTATTTGAGAGGAGGGACAGAGACAGAGCTGCCACCTGCTGGTTCACACCCTCAATGCCCACAACAGCCAGGCCGGGCCGAGTCAGGAGCCCAGCACTCAGCCCAGGCCTCCCCCGGTGTCAGGGACCCAGGTACCGGGCCGGCACCGCTGCCCCCCAGGTCTGCATCGGCAGGAAGCTGGAGCCAGAGGCCGAGCTGGGAACCAGACCCAGATGTTGGACGTGGGACGCAGGTCCCTCACTGCTAAGCTAAATCCGAGTTAATTCCTGTTTATCTGTTTCCCCTTTGTCGCCGTGTCTGTCATCACCAGACCCAGCGTCATGAAGACTCTCCCGTTTTCTCCACGGGGTTCTGCAGTTTGGGCGATGAGGTTCAGGTCTTGGGTCCATGTGGACCAGTTTCCCACCCATCTCCCGGGCCAGTTTTCCTGATGCTTCAAAGAGCAACATGTCCACAGTTGAATTTATTTTTTAGAAAATTGTTCAGTTGAAAGGTAAAGTTACAGAGAGCGAGCGAGCGAGCGAGCGAGAGCTTCCATCTGCTGGTTCACTCCCCAAATGGACACAGCAGTCAGGGCTGGGCCAGGCTGAAGCCGGGAGCCTGCAACTCCATCCGGGTCTCCCACATGGGTGCAGGGGCCCAAGGACTTGAGCCATCTTCCACTGCTTTTCCCAGGCCACAGCAGAGAGCTGGACCCAAAGTGGAGCAGGGGCTGGCCCTGTGGTGTAGCCGGTAAAGCTGCCTCCTGTGACACCAGCATCCCATATGGATGCAGTCCCGGCTGCTCCACTTCCCATCCAGCTCCCTGCTGTGGCCTGGGAAAACAGTGGAGATGGCCCAACTCCTTGGGCCCCTGCACCCATGTGAAATACCATAAAGGAAGCACCCAGCCTTCCAGCCTGGCCCAGGCTCCTGGTTTTGTCA